CAGGGTGAGGTGGTGCAGCAGCTGGAGTGCTCATTTTGCTCTCCTACAAGGCCTCATTCAGCAGCAAAGAGATGGCAAACAACCCTGGATAGTGAAGAGATGTCAGGCTCTCACAGCTTTGATACGGCTCTCGCCTATCGGCCCCTGTAGGGAGCTTCTGGACATGCAGGAGAAGGTAGACTGTATGTTTAGGAATCATAAAATCTAACGATTCTGGTTCTGATTCTTTGGTGAAGAAATATATGATAAAAATGAAATGCTACTTCATGCATCAATGCCTATAAATGCCTGTTGCCAAATGTTTACACAAATGTTTAGAGGCATGAATGCAATCCATCACCTATATTAAATTCAAATAAGAAATAAAACATTTTATTATATTTTATCATTAAATTGTTTGTATAGAACTCCTATAGAACCACTCATTACACCAACATTCATAATGTCTCAAATAATCAACAAACTCAAATAATAAACAACACTCTAACACAATAAACAAGTTAATAACTGATTTGAGTCTCATGAGCATGAATACATAATAGTAACAGTAACAGTTATTGGTTTCCTTCGAGTCAGACATGACAAAAGTAATAACTTGCAGTCCAGTTAGTGAGTCTGAATAATTCAGTAACCGCTATGACTCGTAAGTACTTTTCATTTGCTAAAAAGAAGCAGAGTCAAGTCATTGCTTTGGGAATCAGACTGCAGTGGCCACGCTGTAAGTCTCTGATTCACTAAAAGTCTTCTTCACTAAAAAATTCACTTGATCTGTTCAGGAATCAGACTACACAGTAGGCCTACTGGATGTTTCTGAATGGCTAAAAGGAACCATTTGGTATCAGACTACTGGCCATGCTTAATGTTTCTGGATCACTAAATATATCAACTGATTGGAACCATAGGTTTCAGAAATCATGATACAGACCTCAAATTAGCACAGACCACACCAAATCTACCAGTCGCATTCACTCCATCTTTGTATACTCACCTTTTACACTCTTAGTAAACAGATGGATTTACACGTCGGGTGGTAGCCCGAGCTAGCCGTGCATTATCCCTTACATATACAGTTGCAATCAAAATTATTCAACCCCCATTGCAAATCAGGTTTACTGGAAAACTTTTGACTTTCAGCTGTTTGCAATGAACAACTCAAACAACAGTAATTGCTCAACACATTGAATGTTTCAAGTGGTTTCCCCAAATTCAGCTGAAAACACAACATTTAATGACTTTTAATTTTTAATTGCTGCCACATTCTGGATTAGTTGCAGACATTTGATTGAACTGGCTGGAAGACCTGCCAAGAGAGAGTTGCAATAGTCCAGCCTGGGCAGAACAAGAGCTTGAACAACCTATGTATATATATATATATATATGTGTGTGTGTGTGTGTGTGTTTGGTTAGGTCTATGTTTTTGGAGAGGAATCTTGTTCTAGGATCAACAGGAACAAGGTTGAGAACCACTGAGCTAGTGAAATATAGAAAACGGATACTGTATTGTAGATAATACTGTAGCCAGTATACTACACAATCATCATCACATCACTACTGGAGTTCCTCCAGCACAATTAGCTTACTGTGCCAAACATCCAGATCGGGAACAGCTTGTAATCATACCATGCAGAACCGTATTTTGGAAATGCAGCTTGAACTTTTAAACCGACAACAGTTTTGCTTTGTTGTGGTAAATTATTGGCTGCTGAGACCATCAAACCCTTGAATTTCAAGAGACACCAAAAAAAAACTAAATCTTTTGTAAAAAAAAAAAAAATATATATATATATATATATATATATATATATATATGACATGGTGCAGTCTGCACGACTGTGTGTAGGTCTGTCAGATGGGAGTGCTGGCGGTGCCCCGCTGCAGTCGTGCTCTGTGTCTGCTGGGATTGGTGCAGCTGGCTCAGAGCGACAGTCATGCAGCAGCTGAACGAGCTCAGGCGGCGCTTGCACATGCCTGCCTCAGTTTCCAGGCCAGCATTGAGTCAGAAGGTTCCCATCAGACTGGAGAACCACCTGAGCAGCTGACCAGTAAGTACTGTCATTAATTCAGCCAAAAAAGAAAATTATGTTATTTACTCACCCTCACGTCAGTTCAGACCTGTATTGTTGTCCATACATCTATCTTGCCACTCATCTGATACCGGGTCGTGGTGGCAGCAGGATAAGTAGGGATGCTCACATGTCCTTTTCCTCTGCAACTTCCTTCAGCTGCTCCTGAAGGATCCCAAGGTGTTCCCAGGCCAGCTGGGAGATAAAGTTCCTCTCTGTTCTTTAAGTCAAATGGACTAAAATTATGATGGTTTTATGGGGGTTTGGAGCTTGATAATCTAAATCACCATCCACTTGGCAATTCCTTGAGCGTTTCAGGATTCAATTGGCTTTATTTGCATGATTAAAAGGCTTTAAATTGCCAAAGCATTGGTAACATTAAATAAAAATTTAGAAGAAAGCTTTGACTGGAGTTTAGCTAGACTTGTCTATATTGGGTGTTTGTACCATGGTTTATAAGTGGATCCCAGACCTGATGGGTTCCATAACCGATCGAATAATTTTTAGCCAGATTCTGATTGGGATGTCTATATTATTCTTAATAGCAGAAGAAGCTCTTTGTGCTTTGTCAGATCTCGGGTCATCACAGCCTTGTTGAAGTTTCCTGTGATGCTGATGTGTGGTTCAAGCAGGGCCGTCCTTAGGGGGGTGCAACTGGTGCAGTCGCACCGGGCCCCCGGGCCTCCCCCCCCCGCCGGAACGCGATCGCAAACGGACCGAGGGGGGCCCCGGTCCCTAACTCGCACCAGGCCCCGCATCAGCTAAGGATGGCCCTGGGTTCAAGGGACATGTTATCTAATCTGAAATGATGATGTTGGTCTTGGAGGTCTAGGTGCAGCTGTTTCTAAGCCACTTGTTGATAACTCATCATTAAATACAATCTTAAGTAAATATAAGCTTGAAGGGAAGTTCATGACCAGTCTTCCGAGGACAGTTTACGCTAGAATTCATGGCAAATGAGGTACTGCAAGATGTTTACACAATCAAATGTCGGATATTATCTTCTTAGTGAGGGAATTTGCTTCATAAATAACTCTTTAGACATTCTTTCTCTTTAAATCTGAGAATGTTTTGCATTTAAATTAGAGCAGACATGGTGGAAGGATCATTTAGATGCAGAAAAGGACAAAACGGTCAAGCATGAAGCTCCTGAGCCCAAACCAGCGGTCGAGTCACCTGAGGCTCCTGCAGATGGGAAGAAGCTGGCGAGAGGCAGAGGAGCTCCAGCCAGAGGCGTCCTTACATCCACAGCGAAGACCTCGGCTCCTACACGAGTCAACAGGGCAGCCACAGCAGCCAAACACACGCCACAAGCTGCTCGGTGAGCGCAACACATCACGTCTCACTGCACCAGCCCCAAACTATCTCTGAATACTGAGAAGACCAAAGATTGATTTCCATTTACTCTTCATTGTTCTTAAGAACGACAGGGAAACCATTGCTGTGAATACGTTCACATACAGCACAGCCTCCTGTATCTTTACAACTAGTGGTTCTCTTATTCACAAATGATTGCTACTTTGATATTTCTCTCGTTAGAGGGAGGACAGGAGGGCATTTGGTCACCAAGAGTGATGGAGCTGGAAAGACAGCAGGCAAATCAAGCATTAAAGCTCAAATGTCTCCTTGTAAATATGGGCAGCGGCACAGCCCTCTTCAGGAGAAACCAACAACTTCAGCAGGTTTGCCCAGACTCTTGGCTCAAAGTAAATGCGTTTTCTATGATCTGAAGTCATGCTATGTCAATCAATATTCTTCTCAGTGGAGGTTGGCAAGCAGGACAATGACAGTAGTCTCAGTGGCTCTGAATGAGAAGTCCTATGTGCCACGGCTAGGCTTAGCCAGGGCGCTGGCGCGAACCACTGACTCACAGAAACAGGCGGGTCATTTTTATTGACATTGAGGTCATGAGGTCATTGACATGGCTCCAGAGGTGAGAGTCCCTTAATGCACACTCGATCAGCATGTATTGACACTGATTTCACATCGTAATACTGCATTTCACCACTATTCCATGTTTTAGGTGCATGACGCATACATTGAGCTGCCCAATCTGCTGTTGAAGGACGATCCTCTGGCTGCTGTGGATGTTTACAGTAGATTCCCACTGAAGCCTGTCTGTGAACAAACCTTTGATGATGCCTTCATAACAGGAGAGATTGTGCATATTCTGATGAAACATGAACTGTACGAGCATCCTCAGCTACTGCCCGACCTGATTGCGCATGGAAAAGTCACGGGACTCGGTAAGATCTGCTCTTACTTCAGCTATTTATCCATTTATGTATGAAATTTTTGATAAAATCAACTCTCAAGAGAAATGTTTGAAAACTTTTTTTTTTTTTTGCTTCAAACTGAGTACTGTTAGTGCTGAAATGAAAACATTCTGCTTTTGTATTAAAAGGATGTCTTGAAAAATATATTGAAGCACTTGAAGTAAAGTTCTTGGCCAGTTTTCTGAGGAGAGTTTACGCTGGAATTCATGACAGATCAGTGGATGATGAGGAGCTGCAAGACTTCTTCAGATTCAAGTGTTGGATATGATCTTTTTAGTTTGGGAATGTCCTCCATATGCCTTATTTAAATCCACTTTGAACATTAAACAGACGGTTTGGTCAAAACCCATTCTGGCATTGTCTGGCATATATTTTTAGTCAGTGAAAAGACATTCATCAAGAAAAAAAAAAAGTAAGGTGGGACGACAGGGAATTGATTGGATTATGAGAAGTGGGCATTACGGAAAGACAAGAGAATGTGTGACATCAGCCTGAAAAACAGCATTTAAATTATTACAACTTGATAAAAGACTGCAAAGACAAAATGTGCATTTTTGATTTGATTCTTTTTGTCTTAAAATAACTTTACCATGGTATTACAGGCCTTCACATTGTGCATAAAAACACAGGCTAACAAAGAATTAATTTTCTTAAAAAAACAAAAAAAAACAAACTCAAATATAACTGCACATATAAACTTAAGATATACACGTGGCATGTAAACAGTCATCAGATTTTCCAGTTTGTTTGGGAATAACAGTAGAGAAGTGAACTCAAGTTAAGTCAGACTGTGTTGAGTTTGGTCACAATGAGGACTCGTACAGACTGGTCAAATGAAGAGCAAACACAGAGACCCTGTTTGTCCGGGCTCCAGTCGAGACTGGAAATGGGTTGTGTGGACAGAGTGACGTTCTGCAGGAGGTTCACAGATCCAGCGACGCCCATGTCTACATCATCCGCACCCTTTTTAGTCCTCTGGGCTGGATACTCACTGTGACAATAGAAAAATCCATCAAAAAATGGCACGGTACGAATAATAATCTTCAGATGTTAAAGATATTATCTCAAAGAAATCACTTACTATTTCCATAAATGCAGATTACCGGCTCCACCGGCTGTCATGAAGATGTCGCGGTTTTGAGGCAAATGCCTCACTTGCCATATTGTAGACTTGTGAGCCTGAAATACAGAAAGCAAATGCTAAAAACTTTCAAAAGCGTCTTAAGAGTCAGGAGCCGTTCACAAAGAAGACGTTCCATCCCAATGTGCTACTTTTCCATTGTTTTTCTATGTAAACGCGCACTAGATTAAAGCAATAAGCCCCAAGAAGCCGTGGTTTACAGTGAATTTATAACAGCTAAGCGGCGTTGTTAACCCCCTTTAGCTGTTATAAATTCACTGTAAACCACGGCTTCACGGGGCTTATTGCTTTTATAAAACGGTTATTCCGTTTCACAAAATAAAACAGAGCAAATAAAGTGTAATGATATTAATAAAAACAGTATTCTTCCACCAAACAATGTAGTTCCTCAGAAACAGTTGTGTTTCCAACAAAGTGGTTGCCGAGCAACACACAGAATCAGAATCAAGGGCCGGAACTATTCGTTTTATAAGGACGCATATGACTGCAGCACTTGCATCTTTTGCAGAATCTCGCACATGAGCGCTGTGTTGTTAAGACGCCGTGTCAAGTTAAAAGAATCTCAACTCTTACAAGCAGCGCCTCTCATCAATGTCAGCCCCAAAACAATGGACCAATCAGAAGACCGCGGAGGCGGGGCGAGTGTTGCGAGCTTTTGTTTACAGTAGCAAATTGGCATGGCAACTGTTTTATTTGATGGCAACATGGCGGAGAAGGCACTCATATCGGCTGTGTCCAGATACCCTTAATTATGTAACAATTCTTCAAGCAATTATCACAACCGGTTTCTTAAAAAACGAGCCTGGAGAGAAATATTTCCATTATTACATCACCTCTCCTGAGCGCTGTGTGTCGCGTTTTAGTCACAAAGACACGTTCTGTGTGAACGGCCCCTAACTTTTTTGACAGTAAATGTGCAAAATAAAGATTTAGTATGCAAAAGCACTATATAGGTATAATAAAAGTGTCCCTCGTGACTCATGCGCTACAATCCAAGTCTTCTGAAGCCTTTGTGTGATGAACAGACATAAATTTAAGTCATTATTCAGTGACAATTCCTCCTTATAGGTTTCAAATATCTGTCATCATATATTGGTTTGAAACCTTATGGTTATCACATGGCTTCAGAAGAATTAATATAGTGCACAAATCTTATATCATACTTTTATGCTGCTTTTCCATAATTTTTTGAAGCTTGAAATCTTCAGTGTCCAATTATTGTAACTGCATGAAGGCAAATGACATTATCATTCTGCACATAAATAAATCAAAAACAAACATTTAAATACTATTCCCTTCCATTAATGACACCATTCTGTTAAAGCTGAGCGGAGTCTGGCCTACCTTTTCAGACACGGAAGCGAAGCCTTTGGTGGGGTGCTGGGTCCTCATGTCAAACACATGAAACTTGCCCTCTAAAGATGTTGCCACTAGTTTGTTCATGTTGATGTCTTTTCTGTCAAATTCAACAGAGCACACCTGCCAAAGACAGAAAATGCACAGAAGTCTTTATCTGTTACACTACATCTACTCTCAAAGCTAGATTGCTCCCACTGTAATGAAGCAGCTCTCTACACCAGACGCCCCCGCTGCGTCGTGCTGCGCGCCTTCGCTTAGCGGAAACCCTGTTTCTATTCCTGATGTGCTTCTCAGCCACTTTACAATCGCTGGCCATCTGAAATTTAAATAATATCTGATGGTTAAATCAAAGCCAGTTTGTTACAATTATGGTCTCCTAATTTAAATAATCTTTTATTTTTAACCATATTTATACACAGGCAATGTTGTGCAAATGCATTTCAGATGAGAGTGAATGACTAAATGACATTGATCGGATGGTTTTTTTGATGTTGCTGTAGCTGAAGTGTACTTAAGCACACAGCTGATCGCTCTGTGGTTAGTGAACACTCACTGTCTACACAGGCAGCTTGACAGCACTGATTAGGTGTCGGGAGGTGTTTAATAATGTACACTGAAATAATTTTGAAGAAGCAACACGCAGAAATCCAAGCTAGGGATGTAACGATTCACCCCCAGCCGGTTGAAACTCGTGTGATGATTCAAATGGTTTGAGATGTTAAACGAATGGCGATAGAGCTGCTGGTGGGGGTTTATATGAATGCGTCTCTTGAGGGGAACTCACTGTTTTCAGAAGAGGTAGGGGTGTGCAATATTGACAAAAAATAATATCTCGATATTTTCTGGGATTTTATCGATGATGATAATTAGACGATATTTTGCTGAGTGTGTTAAATACTCGATAATGTCAAATCGCAAATCGTTAAAACAACAATTACGAAATTATCGCAGACGATATATATCGCACACCCCTAGTTAGATGGTGTTTTCTTTTCATCTTGTCTCTATATAATGCATATGAAAGTAGTGTTTATAAGCGCAGCGCTGCTTTGTTTACAGCGATAACCAAGGAAACACTGTATTGCTGCTGCTCCATCAGAGCCGCTGAGAAACAGAGTTGCGACATGCTTTGATCTCGCCGCCATGCGCTCAATAGTTCCGAACAACTCCGCACTGTCAATCTGTTTGAATGGGTTTAATCGGGACAGACAGCAGTTTTACTGTATTTGCATTTTCTAGTAATTATTAACACATAATGTGCATTGATAACTACGCTGACTACGCTTTATAATAGCATTTTATTCTGGGGAGTGATAAAGACAGCATTAATATGCTCTCATACTCCCTGGCAGTCAAATGTGACCAAGCACCTTAAGTGTAAATTTTAATCAATTAAATAATTGTACTATATTTTAGTTCAGTTCTATTTAGTTAATATTTTGAGGACATTTTTGGTACTAAATAATATGTGCAATAATTATTACCCATGAATAACCATTTAAAATGTAACATTTTCTAATATGTTTATTATTTATATTACAATTAGTGTAGTATTTAGTTTTTTTTTTATTCTAGTGCAAAGAGGCAAATTAGAGGCATTTGGTGGCCGCAAAAATAATATTCATATGTAATGCCATGATTTAACCACTAGATGCCCATATGGCTGTTTAATAAATATAGCCTACATGTAGTTAGGTCTACTCTAGCTGCTAAAAAGAGCATCGCCGGTCACAATTGCTTACTTATTTTTTTTAGGTTTGGAATTTTTAATGTATATTGAGGCATTATTAAACACTCCATTTTTATAAGTTTCGATTTTTGTTTAAATGTTACATTTAAAAAAGGTTAATTACATACCAGTGTTATTTTATGATATTCAGATTAGCATACAACATAAGTGAATATTAAAAAAAGGCAAGCAAATATGGAATTTAACGCAATAAAAAAAAGTTTAAAAACCTATTTCATTCAGCGAAACTCTTTATTGTATTCCTTGAATGGGCAGTCTTCATTAAAACTCATTCAACCTCCTACAGTTAGAGAAAGATTGCAGAAAGACTAAAAACTAGAGCCTGACCGATATGGGTTTTTTGGGGCCGATACCGATATTAGGGAGTAAAAAAAATATTTATACCGATACCGATATATCGGCCGATATTCTTTGTGTATATTATAGTACAGTACCAGTCAAAAGTTTGGACACTTTCCCATTCGTGTGTCCAAACATTTGACTGGTACTATATATAGAATACAGTATATACATAAACAGAATATATATATATAAACACATTTTTTGCAATGATCACTCAAATGTGGTGATCAAACACTTATAATGGTGACAGAGATATGTAAGGGCATTTAACAATTTAACAGGCCGATAATATCGGCAAAACGATATATCGGTCGGGCTCTACTAAAAACCTTTAAAATATGACAACTAGCATTTGGTTATGGTTGCTATTAAGGTGTTTCTCACGTTATCTAACTGAAATTATAGTATAACTGTCTATTATCTAACGATAAACGTTAACTATAATGCGCTTCATAAAATAACACTACTGGCCAGATTTCTGAGAGGTCAACTAATGCGTTAAAATGTCAAAAAATGCTGTAATTTCTTGAGAAACCCTGAATGAATGGGCTTCAGCGCTGGAACTATTGGCTGCTCCGTGACACGCTTTACTTCCACATTCCTCAGTTCCTATGGAAGCCTATGGGAGTGTAGCAACTCTGTTTCTCAGCGGCTCCGTGTTCCGTAAGCTAAAGCCAGAGCATTCTGTTTACACTTCAGATTATGAAATTATACAATCTAATTTAAATCAGAAACTGCTCATGCTGCATGTATGCAGAGTCTTTGTTTGGATTGTGATTAAAATACAGTGGTTGCCTTTCATTTTAAATGGAAAGAGCACAGACAAAGCCTTCGTTTGTTTATATAAAGAGATTTCTTTTATTTATATTATTTGGGATGTGTTTTAAAATTTCAGTTTAGTTTTGTTTTTTGACATATTTCAATTTCACAAATAAATGTGCAGCATTTTGTCTGAGAAATAATAAAATGACAACTTTTCATTTATTATTTGTCTTAAAACTCATTTTGTAAAAAAAAATCGTTAGAAAATTGTATCGTGAAATCAGAATCGTCAATCGTATCGCATCGTGAGTTGAGTGAATCGTTACATCCCTAATCAAAGCACATCCAAGTTAAATATATCTTACCCCGTTTTTGATGTTTGTCTCCCATCGTAGAGCCATATTTCTGAGATCAAATAACTTGATGTCACCGTTGTCGTATCCAGCACACACACAGCGGTCCTGGTCATTGAAAGCGTGACCTGGAGATGAAACACGGCACGCTGCAATTAGCTTTTTCTGTGCTTGTATTTCTAACTTTAACCACAGACAGACAGATCTTGTTTGAAATGACATTCTTCGATTTCCCTTGAAGTAAATAAGGGCCTTAAACTTCTGAACACATTCCAGTGTGAGTTTATGAGCCGGGTTCTGCTCCTTCTGACTTCCCAGTGGTCTGTGACTGATTTTTTTCAAATCATATTTATAGAGGTATGCATCGACAAAGGGCATTAAATGCCGATGTTTTAGAATTGTATTATTTTCCATGCTGTTTCCAGGCCTGGAAATGACCATTTTACAATACAGTAGGGCTTTTCATACTTGAAGTAGTTAACCCTGGGTCACTCTAAACCTCGAGTAAACTTAATCCAGGGTTATCTTGCTTCATGTTTCGCACCGCTCACAATTTACCCAGGGTTAACAATACATCCTGTACATTCCTAAACACCTGGTTAATGTTCTTATTTGCATATTTGCTGTGTTTTTCAGACTATAAAAGGTAAGAAGCCGGGGTTAAGCGCAGTGTGAAATGCTCCATTGATATTTTCAGGTTTTGCATGAGCATGAGAACTCAGAATGAGAGTAAAACATCAAAATAAACTTTTAATCCTAAATTTGAATGGGAACCCTACAATATGAGTCACACAAACACCCACCAAAAGCAACGGTCCAGCAGTCTCTCTTGGTTTCTCCCTCCACGGGCTCCATGTTCACCACAGGCGTGTCTTTCTGCCTGGAGTCCCACACCTTGACTGTGCCTGTTAATAAAACCACACACACATGATTATCAAATGACATTATCAGATGGGAACAAACACAGCTTGAACTGAGCTGGATGATGACATTACTGTCTCCTGTAGAGCTGCTTATAGCTGAAATGAATTAGTTTCATATTAAGCGATCTTTCCACAGTTATTGAACTGAATCAACACTGAACTGACTGGAGCTGAATAACGACACTATTGTCTTTCCTCAGCTGCTTGGAAACAATCTGTACAGTATAAAGCACCATAGAAAGAAACAAATAATAACAAAATGTTGAGAACAAACATTTTCAGAGGCAATTCCTAGCAAAACTAAGTACATTGTCCATGTATGCGTGATCAAAAGTGGCCCTGCTTTCAAATGTGATTTGTAAAGTAAGTCTAGTCACCGTCTCTGCTCCCGGTGACGATCTCAGGGGCCCCGTCACCGATGCCCAATCCGCCCACTCCATCAACGCTGTTGATGATCTCCTTGTGAGCTTTCACCGAGTACACCGGGCTCTCCGGCACCTCCAGATTCCTGCAAAGCAAGGCTTCGATCTCAGACTGCGGCCTGAAATACGCACAAAAACAACCAAACGTTATCCTACCAAACATTAAGACTGCCGTCAAAGTCCCCCGTGGCCAGATGCCTCTGCTGGAGAGATGTGGCTCCAAACGTCCCACACTTGATCGGCTTGGCTTTCTCTATCTGGAATAAAGGACAACAAAGCATGTTCATAGCATTTACAAAAACATTAATAAACAAATAAGGAAGTAGTTTTAATTAATATTAGATTCAAGATAAGACTATTCGCACATAACAACTGCTAAGAATTGTCAAATAAATACATAAATAAATAAAATAAGGTTAATAATTGTGTTTTTTTGCTGTCAAAAACAGCCCCCAAGTCAGATAAAAGTTAGAACTGATTAGTAAAACTTTAAGAAATGTTATTTTATGTGTTTCTGAACGGGTTCTTCATAACCACATTTAAAAAGCGATTTCAGAAATCGTTGATTGTTTATCAGAGCGAGGCCCATGTAAACAAACCGCGTCGCTGTTGCCATGACAACCGGGCGTCAGGAGTTTTCTAGAAAGAGACTAATCTGCCGTTGCTAGTAAACGTGGCTCAGTCTGCACATGTCCAGCTAAATGAATCGCACCTCTTTGACCAGCTGCAGCTCCCCGTGCTGGACCTCATAGATCTGCACGACTCCGGTTCCTCGGGCGAAGTTTCCCATACAAACAAACTTGGCGCTGCAGGGAACCCATCTGCTGTCAAACACCGTGTAGTTCAGACTCTTCTGGATGTGCGCGATGATCTGCGGCTTTTCGAGCGCTGATGACATGCTGCTTTAACCTTTAACCTTCAATTAAAGAGCAGAAACCGGTCAGTTTGAGCGGAAAACAGGAGAGATTTCAGCAGTGGTGCGCGTGTGTGTGTTTCCTATTGCGATAAGGACCCGCCCACAACACATAGCTGCCTTACTCCTAGCCTGACCAAAATCAACGGCAAATCTTTACCATGCGGATAGATTATGATATAAGTTAATTTAATATTTTTAAGAAAGATTAATTAAGTTAAAATCACTTTGGCAGCTAACATGGAAACACATTATTCATTTAATAAGTAGTAGCACTTGGCACTGGTTGGGCAGCAATAAGGTCCTTTCTGTCTGTAACATGGCAGAAGCCACATGTTCGTGGTAAACATCGCTGCTGAACTGTAGTGTCTAAAAGCTGTTTTCACGATGGAGTCGGTATCAAACACGCCGGCGGAGGTGAGCGCTACTATGGACTGTGAGGGAAACGCGGACGCGTTTGAGAAAGTCAGATCAAAGAAGAGTCACAAACGGAAGCGGGACGCGGCTGAAGTGGACATGCAGCCCGAGGAGACCGTAGCGGCCAAGAGACCGCAGTTCCCGGCTTTATCAGGAGCCCAGCTCACGGTACTGCTCCTGTCCAGCGCTCTGTGTACAGTAGGATCTTATGTGTGGAATATTATATTTCATATATATAAACTTCTTTTGAGTCGGATCTTTTTAATGAAGTGTTCGAACCGGTTCGAAACGATTCTTTCACAAGTCAGTTTGAATCGGTTCTCGAGTCAAACACTCACCCTTTAAAGGGGTCATAAGATGTTGCTAAAAAGAACAGTATTTGGTGTATTTGGTGTAATGAAATGTGTTTATGCGGTTTAAGGTTCAAAAAACACATTATTTTCCACATACTGTACATACTGTTTTCTCCTCTATGCCCCGCCTTTCTGAAACGCGTCGATTTTTACAAAGCTCATCGTTCTGAAAAGCGAGGTCTGCTCTGATTGGCCAGCTATCCAGTGCGTTGTGATTGGCCGAATACCTCAAGCGTGTGACGGAAAAATCTTCCCACATAGTGATGTAGACATGTGGGGGCGTGTTAGAACGAGCCGTTTTAGGTAGGTGTGGTTGATTCTTAACTTTTATAAAGAATATCTCTTTGGATTTGAGACTTTAGTCTTTGCAACTTTACAGATCTTCTTTATGCACGAAGAGCTTGTAACACTTCAAAGAGAAAGAAAAAATTTAAATCGCATCATATGACCCCTTTAACCTTCATAATGCATTCAGAACCGCTGTACGATTTGGGGGAAGCGTTGCTTCATAAAACAGTCATAACTTAACATTTTTCAACTAAAGACACATTGTATCTGATCAGCAACTTCTCATTAATGAGGGAACGTGAAAAAAGTTCAAAGTTTAGTATGTTATTGCCATGTTTTTATTGCATTTATCTCTTTTGGATCAAGAAATTGTGATTTTTTTTTTTAAATATAAAATTACTCATCCACATCACACATCAAAAAGTGATGCAATATGTATGTGTGTGTGTGTGTGTAGATGATAAATCGAATATTGTTGTATTAAATTTATAAGAACATATAATTACCAGTATTAACAGTCAAAATGTTTGAAAATTACATTTATTTCTAACAAAACAACATATCTATATCGCTTTAAAAATAATTGTAATAGAGTGTTTTTTCGAGGGTGTTAAGACGCTTGCAAAGTTTCATTCCCTTACTATAAACTATGCTGTTTTTAAAAATGTATATGCATCTCTTCCAGGTCAAAATGGACCAAAAGGGTTATATCTAAGCCCACACTGAGTCTCTCTCTCTCTGTTCTTGCTTTCCTGTCTGATGTTTACTGATGTTTACTGGCCGTTAAATGCAGTGAAGCTCAGAAATGAAAGTGGTGTTGTGTTGTTTGTTTCAGGGAGGCGCAGTTGAGATGCGGAAGGTGCCTGTTCCCGCTCACCGTTACAGTCCTCTGAAAGAAAACTGGATGAGGATTTTCACCCCCATCGTGGAACATCTGCAGCTCCAAGTGCGATTCAATCTCAAAACCAGGAACGTGGAGATTAAAGTAAGTGTTGGCAATCATTATAGGCCATTTAATTAGTGGAAAGTGATCATCTCAAGTAGTGTCAGATCATTTCTAGCAAATGAAGTGCTGTTGTTTTGCAGACGTGCAGAGAAACGAGTGACATCGGTGCTCTGACCAGAGCTGCTGACTTTGTGAAGGCCTTTGTTTTAGGCTTTCAGGTGGAGGTGAGTGTGACTGAGGTTATTTCTGTTCAGTACGACTGGGTGATCTATTGAGTGTTCATAATCATATTGATGTTTTTGTATATGCGTAGGTATATTTTTATGCCAGTTTATTAGGACAGAAGATCCTGTCACTAGATGTGGTTTCAAAATGCTTGCGAGTATGAAAGCATTAAGACAGAGATGTTGTAAAAGCTCTGATTTAATTCTTAGTTGCAGAATTATTGTTAAGTTTGATTCTGTGATCAGTTCTTACTGTCACTTTAACAAATCAGTTGTAAACGCTTAATCAGTTTGTTTCTCATCACTCAGAAATGTTTTACAAAGTTAGATTTAGATGATGGTTACTCTAATTATTCATTGATTCCTCTGGTTGGTAAAAATACATTCTTTAAGCCATTTCAGTGCAAATACATTACCATTCAAAAGCTCAACAGGGCTGCATTTATTTGATCAGAAATACAGTAAAAATTGTGAAATATTACAATTTAAAATAGCTGTTTTCTATGTGAATTAGTGCTGTCAATCGATTAAAAAAAATTTAATTAATCGCATATTTTTTCCTGAAATTAATCGCGATTAATCCCACCTAACATTAAAGTTTTTAAATATACTTTTATATTGCAATAATTTCACATTCAATCTTCAAATTAATGTAGAACCAACATAAAGACAATATTTATGACAGAAGGAGAGTATCACTAGCCGGGTTTCCATCCAAAGTTGCGAATTTAACTTGTGCGCAAAACTGGAATATCGCATAAAACATTTGCGAACAAGCATCGTTTCCATCCAACAAGTCAAAGAGAACAAAATCGTCACTTCCTAATAAACTGGCAGTATAAATCACTAAGAAAAGGATATTATATTTATATGAAAATATAGTAATTTTCATATATAATAAATTACTTGCGCCTCAGAGCGAGCAGACGAAACGCAATGAATGCGGTCATTGCTTTTGGAGGTGGATGCTGCTGTTCGCTGGTTAGTCAGGTTATGACGTCCCATAGCGCAAAGCCACGTGACTTTTTTTGATGCGCTTGGAGGAATTTATTCGCAAAATGCATTTCCATCTCCCATTATTTGCATTAAACCTTTTTCGCACAAGTCAAAATCCACCTCAAGCGAGCGTAAAAACTTTTTTGCGAATTAAGGCATTTTTATTCGAAATTCAGCGTTCAGCTGGTTAGTCAGGTTATGACGTCCCATAGCGCAAAGCCACGTGACTTTTTTTGATGCGCTTGGAGGAATTTATTCGCAAAATGCATTTCCATCTCCCATTATTTGCATTAAACCTTTTTCGCACAAGTCAAAATCCACCTCAAGCGAGCGTAAAAACTTTTTTGCGAATTAAGGCATTTTTATTCGAAATTCAGCATTTCCATCTCTCGATTCTGATGCGATACTTCAAAATGCGCATAAAAGCAGGGTGATGGAAACCCAGCTACTGATACCAGCACTTACTGATGTCTCTAGGAAATTGTTTTCTTTTTCTTAATATTTAACCATTGACTATAGCCATTAAACAATATATGCATAAAAACATTACAGTATAATTGAGAGCTATCAATCTGAACATTTAGTAGACTTTAAAAAATAACAACTAATTTAAGTGAATTTAAAACAATCTCCACATAAACCCATTATAATAGATGTCATATTTACCTGTGCCCTTCAGCAAGTAGGAAATATACAGAAATTGAATGAAGTTATCAAACTAAATTCTAATTTAAATAAAGATGAATCCTTAAAGCTAGAAAAGTTATTGATTTCCTCTTTCTTTTTTTTTTCTTTAGTTCTTTGATGAACAGACATCACAGCAGCTGGTTATTAGGTTGTTTTTGTCGCGTTAAACTGAAAAAATTAATTGCCTTAATGCCATCACCTTCCTATACAGGAAGCTTTAATGCGCTAATTTTGACAGCACTAATGTGAATATATTGTAAAATGTAATTTATTGCTGTGATCAAAGCTGTATTTTCAGCATCATTACTCCAGTCTTCAGTGTCACATGATCTTCAGAAATCATTCTAATATGCTGATTTGCTGCTCAAGAAACATTTCTGATTATTATCAATGTTGAAAACTGGTGTGCTGCCCAATATTTCTGTGGAAACCGTGATGCGTTTTATTTTTCAGGATTCTTTGATGAACATAAAGTTCAAAAGAACAGCATTTATTTGAAATAGAAATCTTTTGTAACATTATAAATGTCTGTAATGCCACTTTTAATCATTTTAATGTGTCTCTGATGAATAAAAGTATTCCCCCCCAAAAAAACTAATCCCAAACTTTTATAAATTAGTGTGCATAAATGGTAAGATATATATTGACAGTCATCAAAAAGCTAAAACATATTTTTAATTCTTTTTTTTTTTTGGTATATCACCCAGCTCTTTCTTTCAGTATTGTATTATTATTAAATGGTCTTGTTATTCAGGGATTGTGCAGTAATATCATTACGTGTGTATCATATGTCACTCCACAGGATGCTCTGGCTCTGATCAGATTAGATGAACTGTTTCTGGAAACGTTTGATGTCACAGACGGTGAGTCTTTAACCTGAGCCACTTCACTAGAGTGAGTTTTGTCCAGCCGCTGATTTCTCTGTGCGTGTGTTTGCAGTTAAACCTCTGAAGGGAGATCACAGCTGCTTCTTTCTTTCTATACAGGAAGGTTCATATTTTGGGATCTTTCCAGAATATCAAAATGGCACGAACGGCAATCTGCAACCTCATTCTCGGTTAGTGAAAATGTAATGCCTAATGTTTGCATCTGAATGGAAAAAAAGAATCATAATAAAAGGAAATATTTCTGCTTAATGTAACCTTCACAGGAAGTCCTCCATCAAAGGTGTATGGCAACATTCGGGCGGTGGCGAGCCGAAAAACCAGGATTGTGCTCGCAGACACGTGAGTCTCAAAATACATAACCGCGTGTGTGGAGAAAACTTTTCAATCTTTTTTGATGAATTTCATGAATTCCCAGTAGAAATGTAAAATGTCTTATTTAATTTGGGCTGGGCATATGGTGAATATTCACAATGTATTATTGGCCATAAATTGAGAAAGTGTCATATTTAATTTTTTTTATATATATACTATATATATATATATATATATATATATATATATATATAAATGTTTACCTATACATAAGTTTAATGCCTAATGTTTGCATCTGAATGGAAAAAAAGAATCATAATAAAAGGAAATATTTCTGCTTAATGTAACCTTCACAGGAAGTCCTCCATCAAAGGTGTATGGCAACATTCGGGCGGTGGCGAGCCGCGCAGCCGAGAGGTTTTAACACACAGCTCATGGACTGATGCAGAAATAATGATTTACATTATTAGTGCCATATTGGCTTGTATATGTGTATGAATGATATGGTGACTGATGTGAGCACCGGTGGACGGCCGATTCCTCAAGCAGTGGCGCTTCAGATAATAAACACTTCGTTAATGGAAATCAGACGCGTGTGTGGAGCCAATAAATCATGTCAAGTTTTACATGTTTATTGTTTCTTACAGAATCAAGTAGTCCATATATCCCATAATAGTTGATTTGATGCAGCATGCAGAATAGACATCCCATAACTGACGAGCTTCATGTGCCTTCATATGCGTGAGACACTATTTTGTTCACCAAAAGCTGCAGGAAAAAAAACATTTTCTTAAAGCATGAATAACTTGCTAGATCTGTATTTACAAAACAAAAGGGCAAATGATGTGAGCTGAATCTGCTTTGACTGAATGTTGGCGTGAATCTGAAAAGAATATACATCGGTCTGATTCTAATTTGGCAACTTGCGTAATGCATTTCATGCTTCTTTTGATAACGGTTATAAATCTCACAGCTTAAGTGTAAACCAGTGGAATAGATGAAACTAAACATGCAGGAAGGAACTAGTTAAAGCGAGCACAGCAGAAGCATCATATGTGTCAATATTACTGCCGTCTCATGCTGAGCTCAGAGATGAATCCAGTGACGCTGCTCCTGTCATGCATGTAAACATTCAGAGTTTTTGATTTGAAGCACTAGTCTTGTTGAAACGATTATACTTGATTATACCCATCTTTACAAGCGTTTAGATGCTTTAACGCTCATGTGTATTTATTTATACATTTATCAAAGCACACGGATCTCCTGCTGCCATTACAAAAGATAGACGTGAAAATAATCCATGTATTCGAGATGATCAGACACACGGCGCTCACAAAGCGCTTCGGACACTTCAGCCACGCTAGATGAACTATCAAAGCAAGGGTCTTTCCACTGAAAGATAGATGCACAAGCAAAACCACTGAACAAATACAGGCTTCAAAAGTGAAGACTCGAGTTGTTATATGTTCGTTTAAAAGTCACTGAGCAACATTAGTTTATAAAAGAGTGACGTTCTGAGATCCTGCAGCATCTTCTCACAGATGAGACATTCAGACATTGTAAGTGTGACTTTAGTGTCCAAATAGATTTTGTGATCGCCGTGTGCGGATTCATCTGCGATTGTCATTCAGAAAGAGAGATTTGTGTTAGAGAAGTAAACCAAATCATTTTTATCTTGGTAACTACTGGACTGTCTCAACACCAAACACCGTTCCAACAATATAAACATTATATCACGATTGATACAAAAACAGTTATTGAACATGATTAAATGCTAGAAATAATGTATATCACAAAGTGTAACAGAAGAAAGCCAACACTGCCAACAACATTGTTCTGCTTGGCACATCATACCCTACGTATACTTATTATATCATACTTAATATTTGGAAAAAAAGACAGAAAATAAATATTAAAAAAGAAGCATTAAAAACCGAAATAAATATGGACAAGCCGATGCTCTTTCCTCTTGAACCGAGATGCTCTTTCAGTATCCATAAGCCCATAAAGTGCTACACCAGGTTATCGAGCAGACTGGAGTTCAGTAACACTTACACGCAGGCTTCTATTTGACAAAAGTGGCTTAAATACTTCCATTGAAACACACAGAGCATTTGCTGGATATCTTGAGCAGGTCGTCAGAGAGGAAAGCGGATCTGCTGGAGATGGACTCGCTCACACATCCACCACCATCTTCTTGTGTATATCCAGACCGCCGACAACCTGCGGACGGAAACAAGAAAACCACGAATACATTAACCTGTGAAAATCTCTACATAGAATATAACAGCTTTTATTAGGCTATTCATACGACTGGAGTCGCCATCTCGTGTGAATTGGTATGCTTTTAAACCATTTTAATGAGGGAAAAAATACTGAGTGCACCTATAATTTAATTTCCAGTCAAAATAATAATAGATTGATTTGAACAAAAAAAAACAAAAACTAATATAATAAACATTTCTGATGATTATTAATGTTGTGCCGCTTCATAGTTTTGTGGAAATATAAAAATATTCTTTCATGAGGGGAAAAAAATGCTTTTATAGTGCTCTATAATTTTATGTAATTTAATAAAGTTATTTGAAAAAACTTCAGATGTGTAAATATATATATATACAGTGGGTACGGAAAGTATTCAGACCCCCTTCAATTTTTCACTCTTTGTTATATTGCAAATTTAAGGGGGTCTGAATACTTTCCGTACCCACTCTATATACACACATCTGACTGGCAGCCAGACTTACAGCACAGAACTCCTCGAAGGATATTCTCCCATCGCCGTCCTTGTCTGCGTTGACGATGGTCTTGTCTACTATCTGCTGCAGCTGAGTGTCCTTCAGATTGTTGCCCACCATCATCTTCAGCACCTGGAACAGCTCTCCGTTGGAAATGTAGCCGTCCTTGTCCATGTCATAGATCCTAAAAGCGACTGGATCCAGGAAAACAGTGAATGTTGACTAAGAGTCGAATGCTGTGTGATGTGAGATCAGAGGTGAAGTGTGTTGTACTCACAGCGCAGTTTCTGCTCCTTATCACCCTTCACACTGAACTGAGAGACGCCCTCTATGAACTCTACACACACAAAACAACTGATCATTAACCCAATAACTCAAGCACACATTTTCATTTGAAAGTTTTAGTAACATTATTGTTTTTGTCATTTTTATGTCCATATAAGCTTTTATTAATTTTTATTTTAGCTTTAGTTCTAGTTAAAAAGTTAACCTGAATTAAAATGAGAAATGTTATGGTAACTAGTTGAAATGCTTTCCAACCGCATAATGTGTCCAGCCACCCATCGGCAACAGTGTGTAAGGTTTGAGGTTGTTATATATGCATAACGACATTAACTGTGCCCAACTGTCGTTTTGAGGATGCCAAAGGTCAATGGTTTCTTCCAAACCCTGGTGGTCATGGCTGAACTGAGTGTTCATGTCCTCAATAACGATTTCGAGGTCATGTCTCGGTACTTTGTCTAGAGTCAGTAGCACATCGTAGAGCTCATCCTTTTCAGCGTGATCTTCCTCAGTTGGTGCATAAACCTGAACGACTGTTGTTTGTATATGGGCCGATGCAAAGCAGGCTGTGATGATCCGATCGCTAACTGGGTTCCACCCAAGCGGCAACCTTCCAGTTTCTTTTTGAAACCAACACGGAAGTGACTAAAACTGCAATTCATCGACTGGCCGCTAGAGGCTGGCTCCAAAAGGGAGTCAGTACCATAGACTCCCCATGCTAAAACGCCCAACTTTACAGCAGAAAAAAATATGTTTATAGCCTGGTACAAAAAGTGTTTTTGGTCTATATAGCTAATTTTGCCCATCATAACTACTGTGAGGGGGGTGAATTTTTTTATAACGTATCCGTTTAAATTATATTAAGCCTTACATTTCTGCATAATTAAGGGCGTGGCCACTTGAGTGACAGGTGGATTGCCGCTGCTGTCAGCACCGTCGAGCTAGATGGGCGTGGTTTCAGCAACCTGCTCCACCCACGTCCCGCCTCTTTGCCCATTTTTGATTATCCGGGAGTGACGCTCTGCCAAGATGGCGACGGCCGGCTCCGCCTACTTTAGGCTTCAAAAATGCTCTTCAGAAACCTACGGGTGACATCACGGACACTACGTCCATGTTTTTATACAGTCCATGGTTCCACCCAACTAGGGCACGTATCGCTTGTTTTCCGAGGGCCAGTCCAACCCCACGGACGTGTTTGCTGTCATTGCAGGAGTAAAGGATCTTTTTCCCATCGCTTGTCATTTCACCATTCCCTGTCCATCGCACTTCACTGATGCCCCGCTGCAGGTCCAATCAATGTTGCTCAAATTCCTTATATAGCTGATTTAGCCGACTGCTTTGTGATATAGCGCATGTACGTTCCATGTTCTTATTCGGGTGATCTTCTTTACAGTAAACCTCATATCCATCATCAGGCATCATTGGACTCCATGATGGGTTTGGCCCGACACCTTCATATTTAGGATCTAGGTACTGAGGACCCAAGGTCCTGCGTGCAGTTTCAATCAATGTATTTTGTCTCGTCGTTTCCATTGCGAATTTGTTTTTTATGGGGACGGGTTGCTAGCCCAACGCCAAACCCTCCTCCTTTTGCATCGAAAAGGACAGGTAATGAAAACATTTTTTAATGGTTTTAGTTAACTATAATCACCCTTCTGAAGAAATAGAGATCTTTAAATCAAGACAGAATCGGTGTGAGAGAATGTGAATGTTCTTGACAAACGACACAAAGGGCTTCTTTTCACGATGTGATGCAACCGGTCTGAGCTACTTTAAGCTCATTTGTTGAAGTATTTCACAGCTGCAAGCTTGAGTTCATGCACACACGATGTGTGTTTGCATGCAGTGCTCTCAGAGAAAACATTCAATAAAGACAAATTCTTATATTCATTGTGCAATGCATTCAAATCATTACATGGCATCATACATGCATTTCACTAAACCCATCAACATGTGTAGGCCCCATTTCACCTAACAATCAAAAATTATATATTACAAATCAAAAACTGAGCCTATTTTAAGAAACATTAAAATTTAGTCTGTTTGCATCACAGCATTACATTTCATGACAATATAAAATAAAAAAATAATAGCCCCCCATATTCCCAATTCTTATTTTAATGCAAAAACTCTCATTCCCTTTACAAAAATTAAATACAAATAATTATTAAATTTAATATGTCATGATATTTTTTGTTGTACTGCCTTTATGCTGGTTTAGATTTAAATTTAAGTTGTATATATTTTTTTGTACTAATGAGAATCACCTTTGAGAATGTATGCATGTAAAATAGATCAAATGTGCTTGTCAAGAAAATAATGTCACAATGCAAAAAACAAAAAAAAAATCATAGTCCTAAAATATACCTAAATATAAATATAAAAATAAATCATATAAAATTTATAAAATATGTATAAAATATACATTTACGGTCACAGAATAATGATGATTCTGGGGTGAAATGTGACCTGCACATGTTTTCATGAGATGCATTTAAAGTAAGATTTCCACGCTCAAATAAACAATGCGTTTGGTTTCTTGTGCAGCTAAATGTTTTCTCGCATGCCTCACCTTTGAAGTCCACCTCTCCGTTGCCGTCCGTGTCGAATATCTCGATGACTCTCTGCACCAGTGGATTCTGCTGTAACTCGGGCAAGGACATGAACTCCTCCACGCTGAGGGATCCAGAGTTATCTAGGTCGAGTTTCTTAAACCTCTTTCCCAGCCTTTTAATCTCATCAGCATCGACTGGCGTGGACCGAGAGAAAGCGCCAGACACACACAATAAACACAGAAATGGACAACATTAGCAAACACTCCAGCACACGTAACCAACGCTCACCCGTCTGTCTGAGCACAGATCCACCCAATCCAGCCACTGTCTGCTTCAGCCAAACAACACTACAAACACTGTCAAACGCAGACAAATGAATGAAGCGTGCCACACTCACATCCCGTGACGGGATCCTTGGCTGCCTCTGGCCTCGCGCGGGTCACCACACACACAGAGGTTTGCCCATCACACCGTACCGAAGAGCCATGCGGATCCCACCTCACTGCTTAATACCACTGCTGAGCTTTGAATATCTAACTGTAAGCTCATTCAGATTCAGTCACATGACCCTTCAGTGAGCTCTTTACACCACTGCAAACTCGAAAACATCAACATATTTGTAGTTTTTTACACTGCCGCTCAAAAGTTTGGAATAATTGCGATTTTTATTGCTTTTAAAATAAGTCACCAAGGCTGCATTTATTTAATCAAAAATACAGTAAAAGCATTAATATTGTGAAATATTATTACAATTTAAAATAGCTGTTTTCTATGTGAATATATGTTAAAATTTGAATTGAATCTGAATTTTCAGCATCATTACTCCAGTCTTCTGTGTCACGTGATCCTTCAGAAAGCATAATAATATGCTGATTTGCTGCTCAAGAAACATTTCTGATTATTATCAGTATTTTTGTGGAAACTGTGATATACTACCATTCAAACAAATACTTTCATTCAGCAAAAACACGTTCAATTGATCATAAGCAACAGTAAAGGGTTTTATAATTTAATTTACAAAAATAAAAGCAGCAAATCAGCATATGTGACCCTGCAGCACAAAAGCAGTCTTAAGTCGCTGGGATATATTTGTAGCAATAGCCAACAATACACTGTATGGGTCAAAATTATAGATTTTTCTTTTATGCCAAAAATCATTAGGATATTAAGTAAAGATCATGTTCCATGAAGATATTTAGTAAATTTCCTACCGTAAATATATCAAAACTTAATTTTTGATTAGTAATATGCATTGCTAAGAACTTAATTTGGACAACTTTAAAGATGATTTTCTCAATATTTCGATTTTTTTGCACCCTCAGATTCCAGATTTTCAAATAGTTGTATCTCGACCAAATATTGTCCGATCCTAACAAACCATACATCAATGGAAAGCTTATCTATTCAGCTTTCAGACGATGTATAAAACTCAATTTCGAAAAATTTACCCTTATGACTGGTTTTGTGGTCCAGGGTCACATATTAGAATGACTTCTGAAGGATCGCCTGTTTAAATTAGTTATTCTAGTTTAACAGTCAGCTACAGGTGTGTGGATCATAAAGAACATGATATCTGAACAACAGAGCTAATAACACTAATATGTGCACATCCATCAACCCCGCGCTCAGATCAGTGACGATGATGAATCATCAGCATTAGCGCAATTGTAATTAACGCGATTAGAACCGCTGAGATGATCGTGAGGACTCTGTTAAAAGCATGACAATCGCAGGAGGTCCAACTATCGATCCAGTAGTACAATGACCTTCACTGAGCGTCTGATGTGAGAGAGCACATTTGCCTTTAGCTGTACTGCGTACTGAAAGCAAAACTGATGATGGGGGAAAATCACACAAGGCATTAACATTCAAAATATTACACACAACTGGAATATGAGACTATGGAAGCCTGTTGTCACAACAAGGTAACTGCAACATTTTATCTTACAATTGTGACTTTTCCTCGCAATTGCGAGTTTATTTTTTACAATTTTGAGAATTGTGAGAAATACATTTACATTTAGCAGAAAATAAACGTATTTAGAGAAATAAAGTCAGAATCGCGTGATATAAACTTGCAATTGCGAGAATTGTGATTCTGACATTTTTCTCGCAATTGTGAGTTTGTATCTCACAATTCAGATTTTTGTCCCTCGCAATTCTGACCTTTTTCTCGCAATTCTGACTTCTGTTCTCAGAATTGTAAGATATAAACTCACAATTGTGAGTTTATGGC